TATATATATAACGAGTTGGTCTCCATTCTTCACGGCGTGATAGTGTAATCACTGTAATGATTGAAAGGCAACCCAAGGAAGTTGATCTCAGAATCAATCAAGATGATTTTCTTCCAAAAATAGAATTAATGGACTTTCCTTTCGTTGCTTCCTTGATTTCCTTTTTCTTGTAAGCCGTTGAGATGATTATTCTCTGTAGATCTTTTTTATGCAGATTGATTGATCTTCTATGCTGACTGCTGATTGATTGATGCCTTCCGTAAATAGTTGAATCGAGTATCCGTTTTTCATAAAACACGTGGTCACAGCAATTTAACTCTTGATTCTTGCCTTTGGATCTTGACTTGTACGTTTGACTCCTTGATTCTTGCTTTCGGATCTTTTGCTAGAATATTTCCAATTCTTGTAACATCCTTCTTTGGAATTGGTTTCCTGCAAGTAGAATTAAGTTATTGTCTATCATTAAAACATATATCTAACAGTATCATCTGCCAGACAATGGAGTTTGCAATAACATTGAAGTCGCACAGTTACTACAGTCACAGATCTTCTGATCCCATACACACAGTACCAACTTCAGGATCGCCTAAATTCTTCGTGTGCAACCCACACCCGGGGAGTATGGCCCTTCACATTCACAGGAAACGATACCACAAAAAGAATAACTTTAAGTCAGAAAATGCAATAGTGAGAGGACGAAAAATACCAACTTCTTTGAAGCATGTAAAAAATAATAATATTAGAAGTCATTCCTTAGAGGAGAAACTATAAAAAGGGAATGAGTATCCCTGTTGTTACAAGGCTTTGTGAGAACACGTGCCTGTTGCCTGTTGCCTGTTCCTGTCACCTAGGCTATCTTACGATGTTAAAATATCAAGTTTGAGAGAAACATGGATCTTATTTTCACCATGATACAAGCCTTTCTATGTAAAATTTACTTCCGGGGATGACTGTCTTTTTATAGAGCTAGTTCCATATTTACACTCTGCAATTTAGAATGTAGATGAGCTTGTTTGTTCCGATCAATTCAAATCCAAAGAAGTTCACAGCCTCAGAGCAACACGTAATTTTTATTTTAATTTGCCAGCAGTAACCATCGAGTTCCACAAACTTTCAGAGATGTCATTTATTTTCAATAGTCAATCAGGTTTCAAAGTTAACAAAACTCGGTACTGATCAACAATTTGTCAAATAAGATTCTATATGAGAGTTGTAAGTATGTCCCAGGTGAATGCAAAACTGACACTAAATGTATATATCCAGTACAGGTACCTGTGATATAGGTTGGCACCTTGGATCAAAGACATTTATGGAATTAGGTTTGCCATTGAATGAATTAATCATTACCCTTCAGTTGAACAAGAATCCCAATTCCTCACTTCAGGAGCAATTCAAAACCAATTTGAATAACTGACTAACGAGGCACTTGTGACGAGTAATGGCCATCTCCAAAGAAAAAGGATCCTTCAAACTCACACAGAGTTGCACTTGAAAGAAATGAGGGTTCTACTATCAATTACCAAAAGTTACCACAAGAGCATACACCATTTCGGAAATGGTGAAATCTCTTGTTATCCCTGATAATAATCTCCCTGCCAGTGATTTGAGATGCACCGCACATAAATGAGTGGCAATCTTCACATATTCTTAGGTTTTTCATGATCCTGATGATAGACCCAGTATCAATGATAAGCAGCCCATATGCCAGGGCCAGCTTCTCACTATGCGTGAGAAGTATCCGCTTTTTATGTTCCTCGCTCAGATCATAAGGCACAGAACTTAAGTTTGGCTCATAGCCATGTGACTTAAGCCGACCAACAAGATCCTCAAGTGCTTCCTTAATCTCTTTCGACTTAGGGTGGGTCGTATCACCAGCGTAGAACTCATGAATCATCCCCTCTTTGCCCTCAATCCAGCTCCGCGAAGGATCCTTTCTCAGCAGTTTTTGTTTTATTAATTTCCTTACCCCTAAAACATCTTCCCACCTTCCTGCTGAAGCATATGTATTGGCGAGCAGGACAAAGTTTCCAATGCTATCAGGTTCAAGCTCAAATAAACGGCTAGCAGCAACTTGTGCAATTTCAGGATTACCATGAATCCGACAAGCTCCCAGTAGGGCTCCCCAGACACCACTATTAGGCTCCATTGGCATAGCTTTGATAAGCTGAAGAGCTTCTTCTAGTTGCCCAGCCCTGCCAAGGAGATCAATCATGCAAGCATAGTGTTCTACTGATGGTTCAACACCATAATGTTTCTCCATCATATCAAACAGGTGTCGACCCCGTTCTACCAAACCTACATGAGTACAAGCCATAAGAACACCAATGAATGTCACCTTATTAGGCTTTACCTCAGTTTTTACCATTTCTTCAAACAAATCCAATGCAGCATTCGCACATCCATGCATTGCGAAACCCACAATCATCGAACTATATGAGAACACGTTCTTTTCCTTCATCTTCTCGAAAACCTTGCATGCCTCCTCCACATTCCCACACTTGGAGTACATATCAATCAATGCAGATCCGACCATGACATGATTGGCAGGTCCAAAACCATATCCCTCAGCCACATCACGAACCCAATTTGCATATTTAGCGGTCCCCAACTGCGCACAAGCTGAAATAATCCCAATCAGTGTCACCTCATCAGTCTCCACACCTCCACACTGCATCCTATGAAAGAACTCCAACGCCTCCCTCGGTTTAGAATTCTGCGCAAAACCCGATACCATAGCCGTCCATGCAACCAAATCTTTCACAGGCAATCTCTCAAACAGCTCAGCAGCTGCCATCATATCTCCAGCCTTCGAATACGCAACGATCAGCGAAGTCCACGAAATCACGTCCCTATCAGACATTTCATCGAACACCTTTCGACCTCTATCCAACCAGCCACATTTTACATACACATCAATTAAAGTATTATGAACAAACAAATCCTTACAGAACCCACCAAGCTTTATGCCCTGACAATGAATCTGCCTACCTAAATTCAACTCAAGTTCATCGCTACAACCCTTGAGCAAAGCCGTCAAAGTAAAAGAAACAGGGGATATACTTTCCCTTCTCATAGCATTATACAAACGCACTGCCTCTTTCAATGGTCCTTGAATGCAATAACCCCGAATTAAAGAGGTCCATAGAAAAGGGTTACGGTATTCCACTTGATGAAATACAAGACGGGGATATGGGTCCATTGGGACATTGATTTTTGTGAGCATACGGAGTAGCTTTGCCAAAACATAGCAGCATTGGTCAAGACCTTTGCGAACAACGCGAGCATGAACTTGTTTGATTTGAATTAGGCTGCTACAGTGGTCGAGAAGTGAAACCAGATGGGATTCTAAGAGCTTTGTCTCTTGAAGACGGGAAAATGGGACGAAGGGCTGAGAAGCTTCTGGGTTTCCGAGCTCGTAGCTTATGGGTCTTGGGATGGGGTTCCTGGGTGCGATCAGCTTCCGAGCTAGAGAAACCATTACATGCAAAGCTAAGGTCTACAGTTGAGACAGAAAGAAACCAGAAGGACGATGGAAAGCTAACTCCTATTATCCTATACATGAGTGCCAACTAATGATGGCAATTGACTGTAAATGATTTATATTGTAAAATTAAAAATTAATTTTTAAATCAAAATAGTTTAATGAATCTGATTTTTAACTGTTGTGGAAGTTGTAGGAGTAAGGCTGACTGGTGGGCCGGGGCCGGGCCTAAACGGGCTCGTGGGCCGGTCCTATGTGGGCCCGGGCTTCGTGGCCGGGCTTAAACGGTTCCGGGCTTTTGGTAGGAATCGGATCGGGACCACGAACTAATGGTCCCGGGTTAATTGGGCCGGCCCCGGGCCTATGTGGGCCTAAGTGGGCCTGGCCTTTTTTTTAAAAAAAAATTTATCTAAGGCAATTTCTTGTAAATTATATATATATGGGCCTGGCTAATTTTATTTTTTTTTTAATTTTTATCTAAGGCAATTTCGCCTGGCCTTTTTTTTTAAAAAAAATTTATCTAAGGCAATTTCTTGTAAATTATATATATGTGGGCCTGGCTAATTTTTTTTTTTTTTTGAATTTTTTATCTAAGGCAATTTCTTGTAAATTATATTATATAGTTGTGACTTAAATTTTTTCATTCAAATTTAAAACACAAAATATTGTAAAGAGATATTCAAAGGAGTGTGTTATAATTTTTATTATTATGACATTAACAAAACATGGCAATATCTTTCTTAGTCTTCCTTCCCCCAATGGAATGAGCACAACAAGGTGCTAATACCACCATTGAGAAGAAAAATAAACTAATCAAGATGATGCCAAAATACAAATTATATATTAATTGTATATGGTATCTCTTACAAATTTCATAAATCCTTCAAGTTTCGGAGGAATTTCTATTGGTGGTGGCAGAAAAGAAGCTTGTTCATCACCGCTTCCGGACGAAGCTGCATCCTCTGCAAGTTCAGCTAGCATTTCTTCGTAAGCTTCGTCTACCTCTGGTTGTGATTCAGCAAGTCCAAAATTTCTTCGTTCCGAACGGATCCAATCTCTGAAAAGTACTGATTTTTCCAAGCTCTCCCTCATAGACGCCCTATAATCACCAAGTTGAAGTCTTGCTTGAGTGAAAACGCTCTCCGATGCCACTGTTGAAGCTTGAATAGTTAAATTGTCTCGGGCCATTCTTGAAAGAATCGGAAAGTATTTTTCTTTGTCCTTCCACCATTCCAAAAGATTAAATGAGCCGTCGGGATTCACTTCTTCAATTCCCTGTGACAAATAAACTTCAAGCTCATTTAGTTGTGAACAATCACTAGTGCTACAACCTTGAGAACCCCTGAACCCGGCCCAAGCAGTAAGTGGTCTTACTCCCGCAGTTCTTTTAGATGATTGAGAACTAGAAGAAGAAGGAGTTGGAATATTTGGTCTAGCATTATCTATTGCAATTTGATAAGCACTATAAATAGTTTGAGCATTTATTTTAATTGAGGCTTGTGCGTCCGAAAGTGTAGACAACTCCTCATCTTCAAGTGCTAAGGCATTATAAATAGATTGATACCAATATTGAGGACCTCCTAATTTCATAATAGGATTTAATAAGGCAACAATACCATAAATAGGGGAAATAGGGGGAAAAAATTAAATTCTTTCTCATAGAATCAATAGCTTGTTCATAAATTTCCCCACTCTCTGAAAAATAAGCAAACAAATTTGCAAGTTCTGCAAGATAAACTAAACAGTTAGAAATAGTAGGATAATATTGCCCAAAAATTCATTTGTAGCAATATGAAATCTTTCTAAAAAATCTACAAGCATTTTAACATTATCCCAATCCGCATTTGTAAGGTGCTCATCATTATCACTTACATGAGCGTTAAACGTCGAGTTTATGGGGTTTCTATATTCATATGCAACAACTAAACTTTCATACACGTAATTCCGTCTAGTTGGACGAGGTTTAGGAACCTTTCTTTCTCTTAGGCCAAATTCATCGCATCTTTTAAAATATTCTCTAAGTCTACTTCTACGGTTCGAATAAAAAAGCCAGTGAAGAGCCATTTTAACCTTTTCAATTTCAATATCTAAAATTCTCATACCATCACCCACAATTAAATGGTAAATATGACAAATACATCTAACATGAAAAATGTTACTAAATGCAGGATTTAGTGTAGTGGTAAGCAAGGCTACAGCATTAGTGTTACTAGTAGCATTATCCATTGAAATTGACATTATTTTATCACTAATGCAAAAATATCTACAAATATCCGTAACAGTGCTAGAAATAAAATGCCCTGTGTGACGTGAATTAATTATTCTATAAGCGATAATGCGCTTTTGCATTATCCAATCCTCATCAATCCAACGACTGGTAACAGTAAGATAATCACAATCATTACCACTTCTCTCAATATCAGTAGTAATAGCAACACGACAATTAATATGAGTAAATAAATAGCGCAAATATTGTTCATATTCATGTTTATATTTATAAATATCGCTCTTAACAGTTGTGCGAGGCCATCCTTTATGAGTAGGATTAAAAACTTTTCTAATATAATGTACAAAGTGAGGGTTAGAAGGAAAACTGTAGGGTAAGCACATAATAGTAACCATTTTTGCCAATTCTTCCCTATCTTTTTTTGGATCATAATATAAAATACCACCGGTAACAGTGTTAATTCCCGGTTGAAATTAATTTAACCCAGTACTAGGGTCAGGCTGACTAAGTACACTTGTCCCCCCGGCCGCAGCTTTCATTTGAAGATATTTAACTTTATCTTGAGGGTGTATCAATATGTGTCTCCTCAAACTCCCCCCCCCCCCTTCCAACATAGTTAAAAGCTAACTCTGCCACAAGTTTTACATTTAGCTTTGTTTTTTCTCTTATTTGAATAAAAAATGGCCAAACAAGAGATGTTTCGGCCCGTTTAGAAGGTTGTCTAGAAAAAGTAGGGGTAGTAACAGGGGGTCAGACGGGGCATCATTTGGATTAGTTGGGCTAACTTCAGCAACAGGACTAGTGGGTGTATCGTCATCCGGTTGCGTTTCATCTAAATCTATTTCCTGCTCATCTTCTTCATCAACAAATAGTTGGATTACCATAAAGAGAATTCATATATTCATGATCTAAGTGTTCACCACCTCCAACATTATGCACATATTGACTCTCATTAAATTGTAATAAAGTATTATCACTATCAAGAATAGGAGCAGATGGAGGGCGGGTATGGGGTTTGGGTAGGGGAGCCCGGGGAATTAGAGGAAGAATAGATTGGCCACTAGATTCACCACTCTTGGATTTTCCCTTATTTTTACTAAACATTTTTTTTAATGAATAGGCCATCTTAATTATAATTATACAAAGTAAATAAAACAAACAAAACTATAATATTAAAACTAAAGAGTTGGAACGAGTTTACCGAATTAACGAACAACTTGTTGAAAATTAATTATCGTTGAAGACTTGAATACTTCAATTCACCAACTTCACAATTTTTCACACAAATTGCAACAATAAAGTAACCAATTATAGAAGAAAATTAGAGAGAGATTGAGAGAGATTGATGATTTTGTGAGAAAAATGAAAGAACGAGGGGGTATTTATAGTTAAAAATAGGGGAAAATTATAATTATAAAAAGTTTGAGATTAAAACGAAGTTGGGGGTTGGGGGAGGGGGGGGGGGGGTTAGGAGTGGCGTATTTTAGTAAAGACCCAAACGGCTATTTTTGCGAGCCAACGGCCATATTATAAATGTCGCAACGGCTAAAAAAAAAAAATTGGAAATTTTTTTTTTAAAAAAAAAATAGCCGTTGGGCCCGTTTGAGCCCGTTTAGGACCGGTTGAACCGGCCCACTTAGCACCTGGTCCCAGGCCCAAACGGTCCGGTCCTCACGGGCTTCATAACGGAACCGGCCCACTTAGCAGGCCCATCCCCTGATCCCGGGCTTAAACGGTTAGGCCCGGTTAGGCCCACTACCCATATGGGCTCGCGGGCCCGGGCCGAGCCCGGGCCTAACCGGCCCACATGCCAGCCTTATGTAGGAGTGATGTTTTACACTTTAGAACTTCTCAAATTAAAAGCGTCATATAAGCTCGGATAGAGATTACTAGGCATTTGTGAGTTGTAACAGTGATTTAGTTAACTTGAGCGACTTAACTCATATGAAGGAAAGTACAAGAGGCAATATCTCTAAATTTTGATAGAAATTGGGCATCAATTCATTAGTTTTATTGCAATGAAACTTGGGCATTTAGAAACTACTCAGGTCAAAATAGTTTAAACTACTTGAAAAATGTTCAAAAATTCGTAGTCGAGCCTTTATTCAAACAGCTCTCAGCGGTAAGTGGTGGATGGGTCATCTGTCAACGTTCTATTTCGATATACTAAGCCTTTTTGTTTCCTTTTTGTCGACATTTTAACCTAGCACTCAATTCGTCAAGGAACTGGTGATACGACGGAGCAAATCCCGGTAAATCGGATAGGTGGTGGACTGAGTCAAGCAGCTTCAATCTTTGTTGCTAACCATTGCTTCTTCGATGCATAACATGATACCACATCTACTATAACAGGACTTATTACCTAATATGTATGTGTTTGTTTGTATTAGTTGCAGACAGGAGATAACTTAGCTTTCTTGACCCAAAAAGGAAACCCCACTCTCTACTTACAGGAAATACAGGTCCAGAACACAATGATGCAAAGGCCTTTACCCAGACGTCCATAAAATCGTACTATTTCCTCCCAGACTATATACTATCCTGCTAAAAAACCAAAAAGAAGTAAAATTATGGTGAATGATTAGCAGCATTAGTCCCTCTGACACCACATTGACAACATCAAGGATGAGAAACTCGTTTTTTTTACACACACAAAATATATAAGCAAGAGACGGCTAAACTGTTTCCCTATGATATTTCATTTCCTGTTGTTGACCACCTACTCACAGCTTATAAATTTCCACGTCTCATCTACAAATGCAGCTCCAACTGAGAATAGAGGCTTTATGCTAGCCAACAGTAATAAAATCTCATGTCCTTTGGTGTTCCTTTGCTTTTTGCAACACGTC